CAATAAAATCAACACCCTCAGCCCACCAGCAGAGCCATACAAAGCAGTGTGCTTACAGTGTAAAGCACACATACAGCACACAGTTTACCCTTTGATCGCCCCACATGTTAACCCCTACCTGCCCAGTGTCATTAGTACAGTGTCTGTGGTTTTTATTAGCAGTGATCACTGTATTGGCGTCACTGGGGATGTCAGTGACGCCAAGTCAGTTCCCCCCAGTGTCAGAATGCCTGCCACAGTCCTGCTATAAGTCCCTGATTGCCGCCATTACTAGTAAAAAAAAAAGAAATTCCAGTATATATACCACCATTTGTAGATGCTATAACTTTCACGTAAACCAATTAATTTACACGTATTGGGATTTTGTTTAGTAAACACATGTAGCAGAACACATTTTGGCTTTGACGAAATTTAATTTAAAAAATTTTTTACTGGACATGTTTAAAAGCAAAAAGTAAAAAATTTAGTTTTTTTTCAAAATTGTTGGTCTTTTTTTGTTTTTAGGGCAAAAAATAACAAAACGTACAGGCTCTATTTGTGGGAAAAAAGGGCATACATTGAATTTGGGTGCAGCATTGCATGACCGCGCAATTGCCAATTAAAGTAACGCAGTGCCATATCACACAAAATGGCCTGATCAGGAAGGGGGGTAAATCCTCTGGAGGGCAAGTGGTTAGAGAACTAATGTGTTATAAGGGTTTACATTTTGAACATCATTTGGCTTTCCTTTTGAAGGTTGTAGCAAATGAAAGAAGAACCTCCTTTTAAGGGTAAATAAATAAAAAGTGCTGCACTGCTAATAATAGTGAAAAGAGAGAAAAACAAAAATTCCAAATAGGAAAAATAAAATAAAATCAACACCTCCCAGCCCCCCAGACACAAACACATAAGGCTGTAATTCACTTGTGACTATCAAAATACCAAAACCCAAAATACAAATTACTTCAAATAAGTGCAAAAAATGTAAAGATCAGTGTAAACACATGACAGCCAGTCAAACCCACTCAATTCTGCAATGGAGTAATATACGCTCTCCGGCCACTTTATTAGGTACACCTGTAACATAAATTGCTAATTAGCCAATCACATGGCAGCAACACAATGCATTTAGGCATCTAGATGTGATTAGATTAGGTTTATCCTGGATTTCCACTTTTAAGAGTAACTCCCCTTTTGTTGAGAAAAAAATACTTTGTTGCAGATTCCTACCTTTTGTTATTCTAAAGAAATAGCTGTTTGTCTGTGTCCATGTGCAAAGTGAATATGAATAGGAGTGACTTTATAATTATCAATCAGCTGCTGCACGTGCAGAATTATAATGAGGAAATTGTCAGGGTCTGCATCTTTTTAGACGTGATTTACTTTTTGGAATATCTCACCAAAAGTTAAATTTTTGTGTTGCAGGAGATGTTCAAAATCTGACGTGTATTTCAGTGCAGACTTCTACAAAAATCAGTAAACTGATCACACAAGTAAGATAATGACATTTCTGGTCAGGCATTCCGTACAGAATAGCTCCAGGTTGCCATATTACATTACATTTTACAAAAAATTACAGTGCTACAGATTGAAAAAAAAAGGTTATTTTTGATAACTTTCAATTGCAATATGACTTGTGTAGCAATTGTATAAGCTATTTTATTTTTTTATTTGCTATTTTTTCCCAATAAAGTGGAGCTACCTTTTAAATTTCTGTTTACTTGACTCCTTACTTTATCACACACCAGACCTCCAGCTGCAGCAGCAGATGAAACATTTAGTAGTAGTATTACTAGGAGTGCTAAATGTGACAGCTCCCGCTCAGGGCTACTGGTTGTCAGGGAGTCAGCAGCTGCCAGTGTCCTAACGCTCATCCCCACCTGGCCCATTCATCTGTCAAACAGGGAATCCTGGCTGACAAGTGAATGTAAACAAAAGCAGGTAAATATTTTAGACAATATGTAGGGTCCCCCGTAAGAATCAGACCAGACCTTTCAGTTCTGATATGTATTTTAAAAGAGAGCACACAGAAAAAGCAGTATAGGGTTCCCTAAAATCGCATACCAGACCCTTTGGGTATGGTATGTTTTTAAGGAGGAACCCTATGCAAAAAACAAGAAAAAAAAACTGTGGAGTCCCCACTATAATCCCTACAACCAGTGTGTGTGTGTGTGGTCCCCCATCTTAACTATACCAGGCCATACTTCCTTCAGACCCCCCCGGCAATGCACCTATTCCCATATTAAAGTCATTTTTGCGGTGAGGGAGCAACAGAGAGTGGGTCATGTCAGCGATGGGTGGGTTTTTTCTTTTGGTGGGTCAGTAGGCATCATTCATTGTGACTGATGAGCATCTGCATCACTGGATAAAGGACTTGTCAAAAAGTGTGAGTACTATGTATCCCATACTTATTCAAAGAGATTCACAAGAGGAAGGGGGGAACTAGGGGCCCCCTTATTTTTAAAGGTGGCTTCTAGATTCCAATAAGCCCCCTGCTTGAAGACCTCCACAACCACTGAGCCAAGGCTGTGGGGAAGAGGCCCTTGTCTTCATCAACATAGGGACAAGATACATTGTAAAGGGGCTCCCTTGGCAAGGTACCCACCCCATGTTACATAGTTACATAATTAGTCTGGCTGAAAAAAGACAAAAGTCCATCCAGTTCAACCATTAAAAGAAAAAAAAAAGTTATAATCCTACACCCACAGTTGATCCAGAGGAAGGCAAAAAAACCCAGCAAAGCATGATCCAATTTGCTCCTGCAGGGAAACAAATTCCTTCCTGATCCCCCGAGAGGCAATAATTGGATATTTATAAATAGAAAAACTGCAGTGAGCGCTCCCAATAGTCAGCAGCTGAACATTCAAGGAAAACACATAAGAAGTCCCAAGGAAAATATATATAGGAAATGCAGCGTTATATGGTGTTGCTATATTACAGGCAACTATAATGATGAAAGGTGAAAAAAGAACATAAATAAAGACATAAATAAATAAATCACAGTCCAGTAAAGGTGCTCGCTGATTCCCAGTGCAAATGGTAGAAATGCGCACTAACCAGAAGCGTATGGTAATAAGGTGGAGCCCAGGACGCCGTTGACATTACGCCGCCGGTGCCACGTGGAGGCCCGGCGGCCGTCTTTGAACTTGGAAGGGTCAGTTATTCATTTGTATCTGGCACCACTGTGGTTCTCACTGAACGCCTTTTTTTAATAAAGTCAATTTATATACTACACTATGAGTTCTTCCCTGTGTCTCCTGCGAGGAGCCTTTTCAACTTTTGCAGCCCTAGAGTGATCCCTGTACCAGCTCCTGAGAGGGGGAATTATCTACTTCATACACCTCTTTAAGGATTTCTGTGACCTGCCGGACCTAATCTTCACCACACGAGGGCGCTTCTTCTCTGCATTTCCCAGCTCCTACCCATTACCAGACCAGAAAAGAGAGGGGAATCATCAGGATATTTCATATTCATGTGTATTACCAATACGCTTCTGGTTAGTGCGCATTTCTACCATTTGCACTGGGAATCAGCGAGCACCCTTACTGGACTGTGATTTATTTATTTATGTCTTTATTTATGTTCTCTTTTCACCTTTCATCATTATAGTTGCCTGTAATATAGCAACACCATATAGCGCTGCATTTCCTATATATAATAATTGGATATTCCTTAGATCAACTTTACCTATAAATGTTAGTATCCAGTTATATTCTGTGTATCTAAGGAATGAAGGAATGCGTGCTGGTATGTTGCAAAAGGGGTAGGCCACATGCTTGCCATGCTGTATTTTCGTATAAAAGTCTAATATTAATTTTTAGGAGGGGGGGGCATACTTTTTATTGTTTGTTTTTTGTAGGGTCCCTCCTAAAATCTATTTCAAACCATAAGGCTGACATTTGAATTGCCCAGACAGGGATGAGTCATGGTTGTTAGGACACCTGGACCACCAGCTCCCTAACAACCAATAACCCTGAGTGGGAGCTGTCACATTTAGCAGCAGTAGTTATTTTGTACATTCGGTAATTATTGAGTGGCCAGACCATAAGGTAATTAACAATTATTATTTTTTTGCCTGAAATGGCTTAAAGGTAATATATCATTTTTTTCTTTGCCTTAAATGACTTGTATATCGGTATTTACTTTAGTAAATGGACATTTTAAATATTGCATACAATGTTTCATAAAACACACAAATATCGCATGTGATAAACATTAGTGAATTGATCCCACAGTAACTATCTATAAAATGTAATTTCTGCAGTCTAAGCTTGATAATGGCCAGTTGCTGTGGGCAATAAGAATTTCTTCTAGCTCATTCTTCATACATAAACTGCAAAGAGTTAAACGTTTTCCAGAAAGTCTGGGCTAGCCATACGTGGGTCAAACAAGCCAGATATTTTTTTTTCATAGCTGCTAGCTATTGTTTTGAAAAAAACGCAGCACCCAAGACTGTCTGAATATTCAAACTGAATTTGAATGGATGCTGTTACTGTTTGAGAATTTTGCATCCAGCTCAGTCGAATTTTAAAACACTTTTTTGAGCCAGGCGATGCCAACAGGGTGACCCACCGCAATTCCCAAAAAAAAATTAATGAGGAATCAGCCAAAACTGAAGCCATGGCTAACATTAGAATTGACATCTTAGAGTGTCAGGGCTCCCGGTGTGACCAGAGGTGTGTGGACTGACACAGGGAAACGCAAGCTCCAGGAGTGATGTATAAGAATATAATTTATTAAAGGCTATACACAAATATAAACGCACACGGAATGTACACAGACAAGAGTAGTCAGGGCTGGTGAGGTGGAGTGGTCAGGCAGGCCGGGTCAGGAACCATCGAGCAGACAAGGTACAAAGGAGCAGGCAGAGCGTAGTCAGACGGGCCGGGTCAGAAACAATCAGACAGACAAGGTACAAAGGAGCAGGCAGGAGAGTGGTCAGGAATAGCCGGGGTCGGTGCAGGCAGAGTTCTATCAAAGTCAGGAGTCAGGCAGAGGGATCAGGAAGGCAAACAACAGGATCAGGTTCTGGATACAGGGGCTCATGGGCACAATACACCAAGGCCCTGACTGCAGGTCTGGCCATTCCTTAAATACACCTCCTGCAATCAGCCTCAGGTGATGGTTGATTGCAGGAGTGTGCTTCTGGCTGCTGAGAGCACCCTCTGGCCAGCCCTGGTACTGCAGCCCACACGGCAGGTGAGTCCCACCACCAGTGCTGAGTCCATTCCTGACATAGAGTGTGCTATAGTAATGCACAGCAATAGAGAGAATGCCAATGAAGGTGGCAAATGTGTGTATGCAAGCTACTGTTGATCACCTCCCCGCTGCAAGGGGCATCCTCATTAAGCATATCCCGTTTATTTAACGTATAGGTTTGATAATTGTTATCTGCATTATATGATTACAAAGCCAATGAGAGTTATTTTTTTAACCCATGAGGTGATACAAGATACCGTAACATCAAAAAAACCCTGTTAATCTTTATATGCTTTTGGTTGATTTCCCAATTTGTAACTGCAGGCATGGAAAGAATGAAGAAAAAAACTGGCAAGTAGCAGGCATTAGTCATTTAGGCAAACATCAGTGTCAGCAAGGCAGTCTGTATGTTAAAGTGTCTCCATGGTCAAAATTTAGAAATCATATGTTTATTTTCACACTGAATTTCAATTATTTTAGCCTGCTCTTATTAAAGTGAATGTAAACCTCAGTTTTTCATTAAAACAAAAAAAATATATTATACTTACCAGCTTGAGTGGTCCCATGCCTCTTCTTCTGGAGTCCCAGCTGTCTGCTGATTCTTCTGCTGAGTACCTCCTCAGCAAGCCCTGTGCTAAGGAGGTACCCTTGTTGGCATGCTCCAGTACTGGGCTGTGTGCGTCCATAGACACACACAGTGCACTGTGGTTCAGCCACTACCCCAGTTCCTCCTCACAAGAGAGACCACGAAGGTGGAGCTGCACTGCTGCACATGGGACAGCGCTGGATTGTTAGATCTTGCCCATACTATCATACTGTAGAAGTCACAAATATTACTCTTTACATCTTTCTCCAGCAGACTTATGCAGGATTTTACGGCACCTTCTTGCCTCACCAGACTTTTTCCCTTCTAGAAGATATGTATTGTATCCTTGTCATCTAGGTATGCTACTGCTGAAGAAGTTCACAAACTGCTCCTACAAGGATTGTTGTTGGGCCTATTTAGGCTGCATTGATCTTTAGAGGATCTTGAATCTTGAATTAGAGCAGATGGGCAGAGCAGCAAACGCCCCCCAAATCCTTTTGCTACAAGAAACCCACCTGACAGGAAACCAAATCATAGCACTGATTCATCCCTGGGTGCAGATTTATGGAACATATTTTAGGGGAGCAAGGAGGTCACAACTTTGACTAGTAAATTCTCACCATGTACAGTGGAAAATATCCACCTGGGTCCTAATGTATGATATGTGATAGTGATTCTCACCACTTGATCCAATTCATTATTGGTTCCCAACCTCAGTACACAAGTATGCCAAACACGTCATGTTTTCAAGGTATCCTTCACCTTGCACGGGACCTTAAACGAATGTCAATGGCTTGGTATTTATGACAGCTATATTATCTATGGGAAAATCCCAAAACAAAGCCTGTTGGATCTGACATTGGGAAACACTGCAAAACATACAGGGTATATCTTGGTAAATATAGTGTATGCATGCCTGCTTTTTTTACAGTGACCTCTACTCATTTATATAATACGATTACACCTTACTGCCCAGCTAATATGTTGTTTATGGGGGATTTTAATGCCACTTTATCAGAAGATCTGGATAGACAAACCTACCATAAAAACGCCATCTAGTGATCTCTCACACTGGACTAAAGCAGGCAATTTAACAAAGGTTTAAATGTCAAAATGTATATTCATGCTTCTCTTCCACACACTAAGGTCTCTTGCACACTGTACTGATGTTTGTGCATCTGCTTTTTTGGACGTAATTTCAGGCATTTGTTTTGCGTGTATTTGCATGTATTTATGTGCACAACATATTCTTAGGGATCAATTCATTACTATTTATGCTCATATGCACGTATATGTGCACATTTGCATTCTGGAGGTATAAATTACTGACCAAAAAATGCAGATTTTCCGAATTTTTTTTCTTACTGAGGAATATGCGGCGCTTGTTTATGCACTTGTGTGCGTGCAAAAGCATATTGTAAATAATAAGCTACATTTTAGCTCAGTAAAAAAACAAAAATGTTGTACTGAGCTTTTTCAAGCTGCAGTGTGCATGAGGATTAAACATGTAGAATACATTACCCCAAACTCTCCCTCATTTGGAGGGACTATCCTTCATTTGGAGAGACTGTCCCTCTTCTGGATCCAAATCCCTCTGTCCCTCTTGCCTTCTCAGTTGTTTCTCCTTTTGGACAGATGTGTAGGACTCCTACTACTAAGAATTAGCCAACAGTGGTCTAATGCCCTCTGTCAACTGACATCACAGAGCCACACCAGGCTGTGGAGAGATCCCGACTATAATGTCAGGATCCACACAGATGTCTGATCGTCAGCTGGTTCAGATTCTCAGCATGCCTCTAAAGCCATGGGAAGTTTTTTCCGTTCAACCCAGCAGGCTGACCAAAAACAAAAACAAAATGTATAGATCGCCATACTAACACATCCAATGATAGTGCAGCGATCTCCCTGCTGAGCTGTGTTCTGACAGGGGGAGCTCTGAAACCATAAGTGGTGGCGTGATGTTTTAATGTAGCTTTTGGTTTCAGAGCTGGCAGCTATCTTTGTAAGTTCACTGTTGTATAAGATCTGGTGATCAGTTTTGTTTTAGCATCTTGATGCATTTTTAATGATTTTATGTGAATATTAAATTATTTTAAATAAATGACTACACTATATACTGTCCCTTGGTGTGGCTCCATGCGGTGAGCGTTTCTCCCATGCAATAGCAAATCGATTACTGGACTGAGTCTGATGATGTGAAGTGGTACTACCAGGCAACTTCAGAGTGATGGTGGAGCTGGATGACTATACGTGAGGGGCCCAATTGATACAGACGTGCTGTTTGCTGCTCTCCTTTGGCAGCTTTAGGACTGGTGAGTGCGGAAAGTATCGTGGTCAAAAGTGGTGGCAAGGATTCCACAGAAGGTGGAAGTTATTAATACAAGTGGACACTACTGATACCAGTGGACTTTACTTTCACTTTAATTTTAGTTTAGCCTTTATTCACTTTTTTCTTTTGTATTGGTTTGTGATGCAATATTTGCACATCTCTACATAATTGTCAAGTTTGTGATTTAGCATTTATATGTTTGGGTATTACTGGTATTTTAGACACTGCGCTATTTTTGATTTTTTTCTTAATACATCTAACATATTATTTTCAAGATTTTATTTACATTACTCTTCAAAATTATTTTTACAATTTTCTATTAGATGCTACTTTCCTTTCAATCAAGGAAGTTGAAATGCCTCTAGGATTTGCAAGAATTGTAGAATCTGCATAATCTAGGTTCAACAGCAGCAGATATAGGTGTCTCTAATAAATACAGATTACAGATCCTAAATCTGCACTGACAGATGGCAGAAGTAAGGAACATGTCTTCACTGCAACCTTTTGGGGTCCGATCAGAATAGAAATAACTCCCTCTGTTGAGTTTATTTTAAGGTGTATGTTTCTTGACTCTGCTCCTCATCCTTGTTAGACTGTGATCCTCATCCTTGTAAAGCGTCTTGTACACTGTACTGATGTATGAGCATCAAACATTTCTGGCAGAAAAAAAAATGTGAGGACGGGATGTATATCACTTGGGAGTATTTCTACATATTTACGAATATGCACATGCAAGCAGAGAGCGTGGCATTTGCGAGTATCTGCACTTGTTTGTGAGTATAGATGCAAAAATACTCACCAGCAACTCAGATTCTGGTATTTTTTTATTTTACTGGTGTATACGCAGAGTATGTTTATGGGCCTGTGTGTACAGGCACATTGAAAACAATGGATCAGAAATAAAAAACGTTTGTATGCCTGAATACAGAGTGTTTTAAAGCAGCAGTATGCAAGAGGCCTTAAACCGTGATCCTCATTTAAGTTTTTGGTCACTGAACTGGAACACACGTGCATATGATGTGTGTCAACCCTTCATTGGCTGCATGCTTGTTTTGTATGCACCAGGTAATAAAGCAAGAAAAAGCATAATAGCCCCAGAAAAGAATAAAAAAAGCCAACAAAGGCAGCTCAAATACTGTTTTTCTATTAGGTTCCCTTTAAAAAGGATCTGGACTTTGGGGATTACACTGGGGAGGCAACAACATTTCAGTAAAATGTCAAAATTGTTATTATTATTATTACATTCCAAATCCCCAAAATAAATAATAATATAATTGGTTTATTCATGCAGACAGTCAATATACAAATTAATTTATGACCACAACCCACAACTGGGCAGGAGGGGTAAGTATGCCTGAATCATAGTACAGATCAATGCATTTTACAGAGAGCAGTGCTTTTTCGGGATTAAATAAATGTGAATCTGTAGTTATTTGACATACTATCAGTCCCAAGCTTTACCGTTAAGATGGGAAATGATCACATTACATCAAGGAAAACATCCCTTGAAAAGTAAACAGCCTATTTGAATTTAGTAAATCAACCCCATGCAGTCACACTCACAAAGAACATAATCAAGGTGGAAAAGTCCAAGGTATTCGTACCAGCAGTCCCCATTATTAGCACCCAAATATTCAGAACACAGAAAACTCCCTTAATACCAGGACAGCAGTGGTCCCCAAATAGAGGGCCTGTTGGGAGGAAAAGAAAAACCTGGGGCATAATGAGGGCCAAAATGTCCAAAAGACACATCCAAACTATCCCTTTCATTAAGACAAAGAAGAAAGAAAGAAATCTTACCTGTGTAGGGGTTCAAAGAGTAGAAAATGGTGGACCAACCACCTAGCCACACATCAAGGTTTTGTCTGGGCAGATAATCACCTTTTACCCAGAAACCCTCTAACCATCTGATTTCCAACAGGTCTACCCCATTGTGCATCATTTCTGGTGGGCAGGACCCAAAACAATGCAAAAAAAACTAAACATGTATATCAAGGTGGAGTGCATGCGCAACCTTTGGCTCACAACATCATCAAGTAATTGGACATGATAATAGAGGTATCACTCTCTGTCACCAAGCACAAAAGGAAAGGGGGTAATAGGCACCAACCTGCCGGCCCAAAACACTGCACCAGGAAGGACATCCATAAATCCCAAATATGAAGGGGTCAAAGAAATTAACATTAAGATAATCCAAATAAAAGGGGTAAAAGGGACCGATAGAGTGTAGATGGAATGAAAAAATAGAAAGGAGAATGGTTAAGAAAGAAAAATGGGAGAAAGGGGGGAGAGGGCAAAAAACACATAAAAGAGAAAAAAAGTTAAAAAATGTATGTGCAATAGAGTTATGTAGGAAGGGGAATATACTAAAATGGACACAGTAAGATGCCTCCTGGCTATGGGTCAAGTCAAATGGTTTCCATGAAAAGTAGTAGTTGTGAAAATAGTTGTGAAAATTCTAGCAGATCATCAAACGTACATCAAACGGATTAATATACAGTATTAGATATTTCACAACTGGGCCAATCCTCTTTAGCACGATATTTTACATTTACACATGCTACAAAGCTGCATTTACACAGCAGATTGGATGCAATTTTACAGGGAATAGAATACTGATAATTATTGTATGCTTCTACACGTAATAATGCTTTTTCATCTAGGAATGTTTAGGATAAGTACATTGCCTACTGAGAGTACATGACAAGATTTGATTAAATTTTATCTAGCTGCCCTGCAGGTCACCAAGTGTAATGAACATAATACTTACAGTATATGTCACACATTGAGTCTTGTTTTAAAAGTCTGTATTATAGCAAATGAATATGTGGCATACAGAGCATACATTAAAAAATCTAAAATTCATCCTGGGATCAAATTAAAATACATTTGAGAACAGATCACCCAGAGACATTCTACATTTGCTGTGAACTGACTCCCAGGACTGGAGACTGACAGTTCAATCATCTCAATGTGATGTGTTATAAGAGAATTTTATGACATTGGTTTTTTGCATGAATGGGCCATTTATGTTAAATGTATGTTAAATATACTGTAGGTACACTCCTTTGGTACTTTATATTGTTGCATTTAAACTGACTCAAGAGCTTCCCTCTGAATGGCTCTAAGTTATCTTCTTGGAATTGTTGCCTTGTTCCCTAATACCTTATAGTTGCCATAATCCTTAACTTTTAAATATCCCTTAAAGGAGATGTAGGGCCAAAGCTCTTTTGGCTCACTTCTCCTGTAGGTCACAAAAGTGCACTTAGTTCTGCACTCTTGTGACCCCTTTTCTGCCAACAGTGGGCTAAAGTCCGCTATAGCCTTACGTCACTCAGCCAGTCAAGGTTCTGGAGAGATCCCAACTTTAAAGTCAGAAACCACCCAAATTCCTGAGCAGCAGCTGGCTCAGCCTCTCAGAGAGTCACTGAGAGCCAGTTTTCCCGTTTCCATCCCCTCTCCAGCTTGGCGCTCCAGTGAGCACTGGAGGAACAGAGAGTCAGTGATTGACAGTCACCGGCTCTTTGCTCACTGAAGACTGAAAACTGAGCGGTCTTTGATTGCTTGGTTCTTGGTCTTAGAGGTGGCAGGGGACTGATGCTGCATCCACATAGGTTAGTATATAAGTATATTTTTATAGTTCTCAAAAGCACCAATACCACCCATTCTCTCTAAACCTGTTGCATCCTTGCTCATACACCTTTAAGTATGACAGAAGGGTTGAAAAACACGGCATAATGAGAAAAAAGGCTTCATCACCCATTACCCTGCTATTCATATGCAATGTTAGGTTGCTTAAATACCTAAATCTGTATAGTTGCCATAATCCTCAACTTCTGAATGGCTCTGAAGCGGACCCTGAGAAATTGCAATTCACTGGGCAACATGGTAGAAAAAAAACACCTGCCCTCATTAAGTATGTAAACCTGCTACAGTCTAATGTATCATTCTGGTATTAATTGTTGTCCACTAAGCTTATGTGAGTTTATGAGAACCTAATACTAACCTGGAAAAAAGTATCACTATGCTAAAATCATAAAATCCACTGAGTTTACCTTTCATTAATTTTGTATAATACTGTGAAGACAGATTTAAAAATCTTCTCACAGGACTCCTCAGGGGAACTGCAGCTTCACGTCATACGATTTTAGTTACCTAACCTCTTTATCAGGTTACAATGTGTGAAGAAATAGTGGATACCCAAAGAGGGCAATACTATAACAATGAAGCATAATGGTAGCTATGTTTGTAGGCTCGGATATAGGGCCATTTAGAAGATGAAGATACAGGATACCAAATACAGGCATTGATGAATTGGGGAACGTGGGGCCCAACAGAGGAAAAGAGATCCTTAAACTCCTGTAGATCTCAGGGTCTTGCAACAGGCCAAAAAAGTGGCCCCTGCAACTGCCAATCTCTCCACTGGGAAAGAATGAGATCCAAGGCCTAAAGGCACTAGCCTTGGCAGATGTATTTGGGACCATGAGGTCTGGCTCCAGAAACATGCAGCATTAGACACTACCCCAGCATTCTCCTAGTAGGAGGCAAAGCTGTTGATCGCCCCAACTCTATCTCTTTCTTACAGGAGGCTTGGTTTAGATCACCTTATCTTCTTGGCAGAACAGCAAATGTGTAAGCAAAATTCAGCAGGGCCACAATTTCACCTAGCTTCCCAGTGGGGCCTCTTTCACCCCACAACAGCACTTAATGCCCACAATAGGGAGCAGATAATCCTATAATCCAGTTTAGACCACATTGATCTCGCTATCCTTCAAATGGTTATTTTGTTGCTATCTGGTGTACTAGATGTGCCTTGCAATACTTTCTACACATTTCGACATATAATATGGGGGGGTCATCTTTGGCAAAATAAAAACTTTTTATACAGTTCATCCCAAGTAAAAGCCATCTGGTATACTGCATCTATATAATGTACTGAAGGGTGTAATTTCCTAGCCCCCGAGCTAGTGAATGACAAAGTATGAAAGTCAGAGAAAGCCAAACATTGAGCAGTTGCAGTTAGAGCCTCATAAAGGCAGACTACATACAGTATACAGCAGGGGTTGGCAACCGTCCTTCACAGGCAGGTGATGGGTAGATCATGTCCCTTCCTTGACAACCCTCAAAACCTGGACAGGAGTGAGGTGATGTTTACTAGAACCAGGGGCGGACTGACAACTCATGGGGCCCCTGGGCAATAGGGGATCATGGGGCCCCTGTGTCCTTGCGCAAACTCAAAAAAGCCTATGAAAAAAGTACCAGGGGCATCTTATGGGGCCCCCTACTGACCCCAGGCCCTCGGGCAGTGCCTAAGTTTCCAAATGGTCAGTCCGCCCCTGACTAGAACTGATCCCCAGTATTTTCCTCCTGTAGCAGCTGAAAGCTGGTTTTTCCTCCTCTCCCTCCTGCCGGCATTCAGGTGCTG